GAACAGATCTAAAATCAGAATTCTAAATCCCTATCCGAATCCTAGGCATAGGTCGTGAAACCTAAATTAGAAAGAATATTACACGATATGATTAGCAACTTTGTATCATAGGTGTGAACCGTCAAAACTGCCCGATGCGACCTCTTAGCTAAAAAAAAAATGAGATGGCAAAATGACCGTACAATAGGTTGGACAGAAATCTCGGAAATGATTAATTTTAAATTTAATTAACCCAAAAATTAATTAATAAATAATTTGACTAAAACTCAAATTAAAACAAAATAGGGGTCCAATGTTTTTTCATACATATGTTTTGAATCCTGTTTGTATGAAATTAGGTTACTAACCCTAATCGCACTTCTATTCAAGAATTGGACTAAAGTTTTGGATCAATTTATTTAGAAAATTCAATGATTTAAGAATATCTTCAAAAAAATTACTTTTCTCTTGGAGCTCCAAAATTGTCAGGACAAAAATCTGATCAAACATCCGGATTCTCTGCGTAAGAAGTTTCATCAAATTCCCAGCTTGATCCGCCATTACTGGCGGCGAATTTCCATGAGAGGGCAGCATTCTCACCCACCGAAGCCGATTTTCGCCGGACCTGATGACGAAAACGAACCGGGTCGTTCTTATCTCGCCGGAACGAACGCCCCATTAGGCGCTGGGATTCGGAAGAAGGGGACCGGAGTTCGGCCATGGCTGCTTCTGGACTTGACTGGTGGAGCTCAGGTCGTTGAGGCCGGAAAACACGCGATTATGCGGCGGACTGGTTTGCCCGCGCGAGACCTCCGGATTCTCGATCCGATGCTCTCGTATCCATCTACGATTCTTGGCCGTGAGAAAGCGATTGTGATCAATTTGGAGCACATCAAAGCTATTATCACCGCCCAAGATGTGTTCGTGTTGAATGCTAGGGATCCGTCAGTAACCCCCTTCGTCGAGGAGCTTCAGAGGCGGGTTCTGCGGCACTACCAAGCCACTAAGGCCGCTCAGGTTTCAATTCGAATCGTTTTTTTTAACCTAGTTCTTTGAATTAAAGCGTTTGTTCGTCCTAATTTTGTCAATTAACTATCCTCTCTTAGTGATTATTGGCACGCATCCTCAACTTAGAGTTCATAGGTTTGAATCCCCCACCCCAATTGCTGATGAACTCAAACAAATTGGTGCTAGTGAAGAACTTTGGCTGGTTGAATATAACTTAGATTGGAACTTTTCTTTGATGGATGAGATCTGTGTTCAATTGTCTGCAATGTTTTGAAGGAGGGCAATGGCGATGATTCCAGTTGGAGAAATCTCTATGACTTGGAGGAGCCACGATCCAGGGCTCAAAGTCCCCATAATCCCTATCAAGGATTTCCACAGGCTGAAGAGGAAGAGGGGAAGGAAAACGGTAAACAAGGTCTTGAAAATCGGGAGGGATTGAAGGTTCTACCGTTCGAGTTCGTCGCGTTGGAGGCGTGCCTTGAAGCTGCCTGTAGCTGCTTAGAAAGTGAAGTAAGAATCTTTACATTTTTGTTTAGTTTGTTTAATCTTTTGTTCTCTTGATTCTATTTAGCACATTATCTTGTAACCAGGCAGATACGTTGGAGCAAGAAGCTCACCCAGCTTTGGATAAGCTGACTTCTAAGATTAGTACTCTCAACTTGGAACGTGTGCGTCAAATCAAAAGTCGATTGGTTGCGATAACTGGACGAGTTCAAAAGGTTATTAGATTTTAGTTACTAGTCATGTCACATTTCCTTAGTTTGTGTGGTTTTGTAACTTCATCTTTGAGAAAATCTCATTTTCAGACGATGAATGAACATTTTTGACGTCGGTTTCTCGGATTAAGAAGCACTGTTAACTTAATTTTACACGACCCTTTTGGTTGATTGCGATGATTCTTTACAGGTGAGGGACGAATTAGAGCACTTGCTAGATGATGATGAGGATATGGCTGAGATGTACTTAACAGAGAAGATGGTTCAGCAACAGCTTGAGACCTCTTCCACTTCTTCAATTCCCGAGAGAGACGAAATGGACGATGATGTTCAGCAATTAGGCAAAGATGACAGGGAGGACAGGTACAAGATCCGCCTCGTGTCCGAGAAGGACAGACATCTACTCTATAATCGTAGTTTCACGAATTTCTGCATTTTTAAATAGCCTTTTGTTTCCAACTTTCTCAGTATTCCTGCTGAAATATCATTGGAAGGTGGTGGAAATTCTGCTAATTATGAAGGCAATATAGATGCTTCACAGGATCATTTATTTGGTGCATCAAATGTGGGCAGGGACAGCCATGGAACCCGGACAAGCACTACCCATAGCGCTGTAAGCAAACTCCTCGATGTCGAGGAGCTAGAGATGCTGTTGGAGGCTTACTTTGTGCAAATTGATGGTACACTCAACAAACTTTCGACGGTACGCAACATAAACAATGCGTTCTTTCATCTATGATTCTGCTTCTTTCAGCTTAATGGATTGTTTTCAGTTTATATAGAAAGAAAATTGTGCTGCAGACTATAATAAGTCTTTTCGGGCTGTGGGAAACGGACTTTACCTGTAGAAATGGCTAAACTAGTAGACAAACCTGATTCAAGGGACTATATTTTCGAGTCTGTTCAAAGATAGATCGTTTAAAATAAAAGTACAGAAGGATGATGGGTCAGAAACAGAGAAAATGTAACGGCCCAAGCCCACCTCTAGCAGATATTGTCCTCTTTGGACTTTTCCTTTTGGGCTTCCTCTCAAAGTTTTTAAAACGCGTCTGCTAGGGAGAGGTAGCACACTGATAGCAGATATGACTCTTTGGGCTTTCTCTTTTGAGCTTTCCCTCAAGATTTTTAAAATGCATCTGCTAGGTTGCAGATATTGTCCTCTTTGGGTTTTCCCTTTCAGGCTTCCCCTCAAGGTTTTTAAAATGCGTCTACTAGGGAGAGGTTTCCATACCCTTATAAAGAATATTTCGTTCTCCTCCCCAACCGATGTGGGATCTCACAATCCACCCCCTTCAGGGCCTAGCGTCCCTGCTAGCACTCGTTCCCTTATCCAATCGATGTGGGACCCCCCAATCCACCTCCCTTTTAGGGTCCAACATCCTTGGTGGCACACCGCCTTGTGTCCACCCTCCCTTTGGGAGCTTAGCCTTTTCGCTGACACATTGCCCAGTGTCTGGCTCTGATACCACCTGTAACGGCCCAAGCCCACCGCTAACATATATTGTTCTCTTTGAGCTTTTCCTTTAGGGCTTCCCCACAAGATTTTTAAAATGCATCTATTAAGTAAAGGTTTCCACATCCTTTATTCGTTCTCCTCTCCAACCGATGTGAGATCTCATGTAAAACTAGCTAAAAAATCATCATCAAACGTAAGTGTTAAATGTCTGATCAATATATTTGGTTGAAATGCAAGCCTACGTTGAACATGGCTTTTCCTTTTGCTGATGTCTTCTAACACGCTCTTTCATCTATCTTAAGCTGAGGGAGTATGTAGATGACACAGAAGATTACATCAACATAATGCTAGATGACAAGCAGAATCATCTTTTACAAATGGGAGTAATGTTGACAACTGCGACCCTCGTCGTCAGTGCTTTCGTCGTGGTAGCAGGTATCTTCGGGATGAACATCCATATTGAACTATTCGAACCAGAAAAAGCAGGCATGCCAGAGTTCATGTGGACTGTTGGTGGTGGCACCATGGGAACCATCTTCCTGTATGTCATTGCCATTGCCTGGTGCAAGCACAAACGTTTGCTCGAGTAGTTCGCCAAAACCGAAGCTGAACGTACGGTATAGTTTTCTTGATAAAAAAAACATATATAGATTAAGACAACCTTTAATACATCTAATGTGTTGAAATAAGTTGAAGCTTTTACAAGCTGAATGCTCTGTTTCATACTGTTGGTCGGTACAGGCTATATTGTATATGTTGCATGGTTATAATAATTTATAACGCTAAATTTTGTACCCAAAAATTTAATGTCAAGTTATGAAGTATCTTTTAACTATTATTTAAAAAAATACTTTTATTCTTTTAAAGTATTCATTAATTATCATTAGGGTAAAAAAACTTATTAGAAGGTTGAATGATAAGTCAACGTGTTAGAACATGTTTTTTCGATTTAGTCAGGCAAGTATCTCAGTTATTGTCATTTGAAACTGTCAAATCGTTGTCATGGCTATACTATGATACTGTGTAGGTCAATATGCATTTTCTTTTTTGGTGGTTCAATCATAAGAACTTTGTATGGAGCAATCTTAGTTGGGTGACCTCTCGGTCCCCTGATTTCTTGATACTCATTGTGATTGTATGTCTATCTAACCCTAACAACGAGGTTACTTATCGTATATTTTTAATACTCAACTTTTCTCAAAATATTGTCAGCTAAGAGAAAAGGCGTGTGTGCAGAGGCCGTGATGTAGAGGACTACTTGTTGTCATGGGTGATAGTTCACACGTTTGAATTTATTTTCCACCTCGTTTAGCTGTTTAATTTGAACTTACCTAGACATCATTCTAAAAAGGGTACCGGTATAAAGTTGACTAGTTTCTAGGCGAATATATGAGTTTGCAATATGCATATTTTTGTCTTTGCACGATAAATGATATAAGCATGCATATGGTAACGAGGCAGGCAATCTTGGGTCTTAGAAAGTGAGATTGTTACGCACTCGATCATCTCTTTCTTTCTTCTTTACTAATTTCTCTTTTTTCATTCATGAATTTCATTTAAATTATTTATTGAGTTTCGAGTGAAATTTGAGAAATGGTTTTTGAACTTCACTAACAGGCACACCGTCCATTGTCTGGCTCTAATATCATTTGTAATAGCCTTAGCATACCGCTAATAGATATTGTTCGTTTTAACACATTACGTATAACCGTCAGTCTCATGATTTTAAAACACATATGTCAAGGAGAAGTTTCCACACGTATATAAGCTTTGTTTGGAGATGTTCGTCTCTCCAAACGACGTGGGACCGAGGTTAAATAAAAAGAAGAGTTTATTAGAGGAGGAGGGGATATGGACCAAGAAAGCCTCATCTGTTCATCAACCTCATCCACAACCCCAACACTCTCTCATTCCCATGAGCTCCATCGGCCAAAACATCCTGATGGCTCTCGCCCTCACTCTCAACCAATTCGCTTCCTCAAACGTCCAATCCGTCCAGAGAAACAAACCCAAAACGCCACCCACCACCACCGCCACCACCTCCGCCTCCACCTCCGCCAGTTCTGACATCCAACGCAGAGGCCTCCTCTTATCTGCCGCCGTGGCCGCCGCCGTGGACTCCAGAACCGAGCTCCTAAAAAGTGTGCTGCATTAATTCTGCCCTCTGTGTTCCATTTTATAATGCTTGATTTTCCTTTCAATCCAAACATTTTATGTGTTGTTAGGGTACCTAAAGAAATCTGAAGAAAACAAAGAAAAGAACGACAAGGAGGTAAGTGTTCTTGTAATTTGTAACTTGTAATTTGGATTCGATCAATGTTTTGAAATTTGTGTTATTGGGTTTGTAATTAACAGAGATTGGAGAGTTTCTACAAGCGAAATTACAAAGATTATTTTGAGTTTGTTGAAGGATCTTTGAAGAACAAGGATGAACTTTCTGAAGCTGAGAAAGGTATCATTGAGTGGCTTAAGAGAAACAAATAAATGAATTTCTTCTATCAATTATCAATTATCATTTCAACGATCGATCTCAATCAATTTATCACTTTCACAATTAAAAGGAAAGTTGCCATATTTACAAATATTCAAATTTTGCTATCTATTAAAATTATTCGTGATATTATTCGATTTGAGCCTAGGGTTCATCAAGAACGCTTTTGTACCAATGAAGTTCCTGTCCTAATTTATACACGTAGATTTTTTAACTTGGTCTTATGATACCTGAGTCAAAAAACATACTTGAATGAACCAAGATTACATCTAAATGAAAGTGATCGGATGACTAAGAAAGACCAATATGCACATTTCTTCTCCACAGCTCAATCATAAGAATTCAAAATTAAGTGTATTTTGTTTGAAGCAATCCTATATTTGGTAAGCTCATGAGAATTTTTCTAACAAAGCATGCTGAAAATGTAACACGAGTAAAGGAGTACGCGAATGAACCAAGATCATATTAGAATGAAAATGAGCAATTTTATGTTGAGTGACCTCCTGAACATTTTCCTAAAATGTATGTGAGTGAGAACAAAGTATGCTGAAGAACTCTGTGTTGATAGGTGAGTGTTTTTCCTAAAATAATTAGGTATCTCATTTTCCTAAAATAGATAGACAATCAACTCATACCATCATTGAGCTGGACTCTGTTGGGCCTTTAACGAATAGTTGCGAAATTGCTAAATGATTATTGGGCTTAATCCTATTGGTCCAGTGATGATATTTTAACAAATAGTTGCCAAATTGCTAAATGTGTTAGTGTTTCCCCGTAAATATTCATTAGGAACACCGTTTTGGAATGTGCCAAATTTATCGATATTTAACATTTTTCATAATGAAATTGAAAATATTAATCGAAACGCCATTCTTTTCGCTACTTATTCTCAATGACCCATTTGGGATTTCGTTTTAGTTCTTGTGTTAGATGTTGGATGAAAGTCTTGCATCGGCTAATTTAAGGAAGGATCATGGGTTTATAATCAAGAAATACTATCTGTGTGAGGCCTTTTGGGAAGCCCAAAGCAAAGCCATGAGAGCCTTATGCTCAAAGTGGACAATATCATACGAGAATCGTATTCATCTAACATTAGAATCTTTTAATTAAGCCTAAGGGTCTACGACTTTTGTTAAGAAACCAAATCTATCTGAGTCTTGGGCAAGAAGTTATGAAAACGAGCCTAAGGGTCTACGACTTTTGTGAATAACAAGTCTATCTGAGTGAGCCTAAGGGTCTACGACTTTTGTGAAGAAACTAAGTCTATCCGAGTCCTGGGCAAGAAGTTACGAAAACGAGTTTTCATCTGAATTTGGACAATTTGAAGTTGAAGGTGAGACTGAGTCCTGGGCAAGAAGTTACGAAAGCGAGTTTTCATCTGAATCTGGACAATCTGAAGTTGAAGGTGAGAAATAATGGATACGATAGCTTACGAAAAACGAAATAATGAATACGATAGCTTACGAAAAACATGTATCTCAATATGGCTATTTAGGCAGGAGATCAACATGTATCACAATATGGCTGCAACAACGAGTCAAGCTTCCCGTGGCGATGCGTTGTTTGGACTTGACTTGATCTGATCTGATCCGTTAGTCGGGCTCGCAGTTGAACGCTGGTAGCACATGGTTGCACATGTGAAAATGCTACCAACCGCGCATGGGAACTACTTTTTGCTTCGTTTAACCTTTGATAATAATTATATATTATAATATAATATTATGGAAGGAAAAAAAGAAATATCTGGTTCTTTCTTCAACAATTTATATTTATTTTCGTTTGATTTAGATATTGACCTTAATTACGTTTGAATTAGGGCCTACAAGTGTGTTTTTCAAAAAATTTAGAGCCTCTTACTAGAAGAAAAGCGAACTCGAGAAGGCACGCGACACTCATGTAAGTAAACACACAGATTCTAGGAAGTAATACTTGTATGGATAGCTTGGTAATGGATGCATGCTAGAAAAACAAAATCCAAGGTGGATAGATTCGGTATGACCTAAGCCAGGACGATTGGATAAGCATGAGATTAGTCACTCTTGTTACTGGCATAACTGAATTCCTCGTATGATGTAATAGACTATTTTCTACTTATGTAAATAATCGTGTTAAAACGAAGAATAGAAATTTGTGTATCTGCACTCTAAGTGCTTGATGAATGCTATCGTCTCATAGAGCATGTGTGACTGTATGCATGATTTACTGTATAATAATTGTATGTGATTGAATGTGTGATTCTACATGTAGAGTGTTAGTAGCGGAAACATAATAAGACAATGGTGTGAGCATCAATTTGGCTAGATAATGACATAGGATGGAATGCCTCCAGTAGTCCGAGCGCATTAGATGGTGTAGCCCTAGTGCTCTCGATCGAACTAGACTCGAGGAGTTAGAACCGAGAAACTTGGAGATGTGAATCCATGTCAAGACCGTCAAACCACCCTAGGGACCTAGAAAACCACAACGACAACCCTGGTAAACAAAGGTAGTTGTTAGGTCGATAACAACTGATACAATGTCTGTGAAGCTTCCACTTTCCTTTTCAATCCGGTATGGTACCATTAAGTTAGATATGAGGCTGGTTAAGGCCGTGTGACTTGATAATTCACTTGGATTACCATGCACAATAGATCCATCTTATGGAGTGGATGTTCATAATGCGAATAGTAAGCAGAACTGCCACGTATAGGGGGTCGCTCCTCCCAACTTTGGGAGATTACATGACCAAAAAATATTTATCATCACCCGTCTATTTGTTTTAAACTACAAATTAAAAATATGTATGAATGATAAACATTTTTGAGATTTCAAATGTTGAATTTGGAAGAAATGGACATGAAAAAAGTAATTAAAACAAAAGTAAAATTAACACAATTTAAAAACAAAAAATAACCCCACAATTAAAAACACATCGTAAAAAATGTACAAATGGGTGTTGTTTAAGTTGGATACAAATTCAAACCATTATAAAAGACTCAAATATCACAAAATGATTGACGCCAGATATGAAAATTGTAATAGTCTAAGCTCACTGCTGGTAAATATTGTTCTCTTTGGACTTTTCCTTCGAGTCTCCCGTTAAAACATGTTTGCTAGTGAGAAGTTTCTATACTCTTATAAAAAAAATGTTTCGTTCTCATCTCCAACTAATGTGGGATCTTACATCGTATCAGAACTAGACACTGAGCGATATGTTAGCGGAGAGAAGGTGTGGACACTAGACGAAGTGCCAGCGATTTTAAAGCCCAAAAAGAAAGGCAGTTTAAGGATGAGTTAAAAGTTAAAACATGTTTGTTAGTGAGAAGTTTCTATACTCTTATAAAAAAATGTTTTGTTCTCATCTCCAACTAATGTGGGATCTTACATCGTATCAGAACTAGACACTGAGCGATATGTTAGCGGGGAGAAGGTGTGGACACTAGACGAAGTGCCAGCGATTTTAAAGCCCAAAAAGAAAGGCAGTTTAACGATGAGTTAAAAGTTAAAACGGTAGATGGATTTGGTGGTCTGCAGCTGGAATGTGGCAGTGGAAAACACAGATGAGCAATGGAAGGTTATAATGAAGGCCTGCAATGAGAGGGACAATGGCAGTCGGCAACCCAATATGTCCCGCATGGGTTTAAGGGTGTTGTCACCCCAAGCATAAACAACACACACAGCAACCAGCTGCTGCATGCATTGTCCTTGTCCTTGTCCTTGTCTTCGTCTTTGGCGGTGGTTCTAAAGGCAATCCATTTCTCTTCCATACTTCTTTAACTCTATCTGTCCAATCTTATTCTATGCGCTGCATATCTCTCTTTTCTAACCCAACACTTTTATATTACTATGTTTGCTTCTTAGTTTTGTGTGTAAGTTTCGAGAAATTATCTATCGAAAATGTCATAATGAGACTGATAGTTTTGTACGATTAGATATAGAGGAGAGAAGTTACTAAAAAAATGATCTTTGTGAGATCCCACGTCCCTTGGAGAGAAGAATGAAACAACCTTTACAAAGGTGCGGAAATCTTTCCGAATTTGATGGGGTCCCACGTCGATTGGAGAAAGGAAAGAATGCCAGCGAGGACGCTAGTCCCGAAGGGAGGTGGATTGTGAGATCCCACGTCAGTTTAGGAGAAGAACAAAAACCTTTATAAGAGTGTAAAAACCTCTCCCTAGCATACGAATTTTAAAAACTTTGAAGGAAAGCTAAAACAAGACAATATCAACTAGTGTGAATCTGGGCTGTTACAATTTTGTATCCAATAAATATTAAGGACGAATTTTAATAAATTATGAATATATGACGCCTTCTTTATTGATATGACGCATTTTAGTGAACTTAAAAGTATATCGATCGGTCCAACACGGATTGAAATAGACAGGAAACTTTTGAAAATGCAAAATTACTGTTTTGAAATTTTGTCCATTGCTCATCAATCATTGGCTGACTTTCATTATTAATCTATTTTGAAGCCACTATTTTAAAACCCATATTGAAATTAATACCGCCAAATATATAAAATACATAAGAATATTTAAATATTTGGTTACAAATTATTATATATTTATGTATATATATGTATATAATTGAGCAGCTCCTTCCATCCTCTTCTCTGCATTTTGGATCAGATTACCCATCACCATGACCCTTATCATCATCCCTTGTCCTTTTCAACCCTAAAGGAAGCATTTTATATATTGAATTTCAAAATATCTTACCTAACAATATTTTATATTTTGTCCCGAAATTTTGTGGGTCATATCGCTTTTCTTACTCCGACATGTTTGGTTCCAAAAATAATTTTGATTGTCTGTAGAGATCGAAGCTTACTATGACTTAAAATTAGAAGGAGACTCTAATGTTATAATCACATCTTATAAATGATGTCGTGAACTTAAACATTCATAATAAAGTCGTTCAAATAATAAGACTAAAAATAAATAAGGTGAATTTATATAAAATAAAGAAAAAATAAAATAATATCTTGATCTAACCTAAGGGCATCTACCCTAACTTTAATTTTATGGTCATCACTGCGATGTTGTCATTCATATAGGGGTTCCTTACCTTTACCTGAAAAATAAGACTAGAACGTGGCTTG